GATTTTTTGATTTATTGTAGAGATGAGGTCTCGCCAAGTTGCCCAGGCGAGTCTCGAACCCGTGGGCGCAGGCAATCCACTCACCTTGGCCTCCCAAAGCGCGGGATTACAGGCTGAGCCACCGAGCCTGGCCTACCTTTTATTTTTTAAATTGCTTTGTTAAGGTGTCATTGACATTCCATAAGCTGCACGTATTTAAAGTGTATATTTTAGTAAGTTTTGGCACAAATACACACCCGCAAAACCGTTCCCACAGCCTAGATAGTGAACAGATCTGTCACCCCCAACTCTCCCAAATGTCCCTCCCCCCGTAAGCAGTCACTGAGTAGCTTTCCCTGGAGATGAGTGTGCATTTTGTAGCATTTTCGATAAATGGAGCCACACAGCATGTACTCTTTTTGCCTTGTCTCTTCTCGGTGTGATTATTTTGCATTTCATTCATGCTACCCTGCATATCAGTAGTTCATGCCTTCTTATTGCCGAGTTGTGTTCTGTCATGTGGCCGTGCTGCCATGCGTCCATCCACTCACCTATCGATGGACATGTGAATTGTCTCCATGTTTTGCTTTGGCTGTGGTGGCATATGTCCATAATCCCCGCAATTTAGGAGGCTGAGGCAGGAGCATTGCTTGAGCCCAGGAGTTCGAGACCAGCCTGGGCAACATAATGAAACCTCCCCTCTACAAAAAAATAAAAGAATTAGCCGGGTGTGGTGGTGCCTGTCCGTAGTCTCAGCTACTTGGGAGTCTAAGGCAGGAGGATCACCTGAGCCCAGGAGGTCAAGGCTGCAGAGAGCTGTGATCATGCCATTGTACCCCAGCCTGGGTGACAGAGTGAGGAGACTCCAGCTTAAAAAAGAAAAGAAAAGAAATGTCATATAGAGAAGTGCCCATATCCCAATAATTCGGTGATTGTACAGGCCCACGTACCTGCCCCCAGGTCAAGAAACAAAACACTACCAGCACCCTGGAAAGGCCACCCAGTCTTCACCCAGACCCGCTCCTAGGATTACCATTGTCCAGGCTTCTGAGTTAACAGATCTGTCTCACCTGTCCCAAACCCTCCCCTCTGGCGTCACACCTCCCGTAGCTCTGTCCCTAGTTTGTGTTGTGTCTGATAAGATGTGGGCTACCATTCTTTTTAGCTATCCATTAGACCACGGGTGAGCCTCTGAGGTTTTCCGGCTGGTAGCTATGATGAGTATCGCTGCCTGTGGCCTTCTGGCCCATGTGTTCATGGACATGTATGCATGTCCCTAGGGTACGTGGGCCTGGCCACGGGTTGGCTGGGCCAAGTGGGATGCCTGTGTTCAGGGGGTGCTGCAGCGTGGTTTTCCAGAGTGGTGGTCCCAGTTCACACCCGCCTCCCCAGCCTTGCAGAAGGGCTCTGGCTGCTCCATATTGTCCGACGTTTTGAGTTTTCCATCTTTTTCATTTTAGCTGTTCTGGTGGGCACACGGTGGTGTGGCATTGACTTTTTTTTGAGTCGGGGTCTCACTCTGTCACCCAGACTGGAGTGCAGTGGCACAATCATGAAGATGACAGTTCACAGCAGCCTCGACCTCCTGGGCACAGGCAATCCTTCCACCTCAGCCTCCTGAGTAGCAGAGACCTCAAGCATGTGCCACCACACCTGGTGAGCTCTTAAATATTTTGTAGAGACAGGGTCTCGCTATGTTGTTCAGGCTGGTCTTGAACTCTTGGCCTCGAGCAATCCTCCTGCTTCAGCTTCCCAAAGTGGTGGGATTACAGGCGTGAGCCAGCATTGACTTTTAATTGCATTTCACAGAAGCGTTTCCACCCAGGTCGCATTATGATGGGACACCCCCGCTCACTGCGTCTCCCCGTCTCTCACAGGCCGGGTGCTCGTCCACTGCCGGGAAGGTTACAGCCGCTCCCCAACCCTGGTCATTGCGTATCTCATGATGCGGCAGAAGATGGATGTCAAGTCGGCCCTGAGCCTCGTGAGGCAGAACCGTGAGATCGGCCCTAATGATGGCTTCTTGGCCCAGCTCTGCCAGCTCAACGACAGACTCATCAAGGAGGGGAAATTGAAACGCTAGGGCGCCGCCTCTCCCCGTCTCCTCTCCGGTTGTCTGGGCGGGGAAAGGCCCTGGTGGAAGGTTTCCCAAGCTGCCATATTTAGGAAACACTGTCCCCTGCCCCCAGCATCACAAGGCATTTGCCCACAAGTCTGTCCTGACACAGTTCGGGCCACACTCCCCCCCCCACCGGGAGCACATAAAGAAGCTTGCTAGGAGGTCCCCTTGCTCCCTGGTCGTCCTGTTTCTGTAACTTCCAATGTCCTTTCTCTGAGGTGGGGGCTTCCTGGGGGAGGCCTGTGCCTGGCACGCCCCTCAATGGCCCAGGGCGGGAGGTCTGTGGAGGTGGCAGACCTGAGGCACTCGCAGGCCCCTGGCAACCTCCCTTCCCCCACCCACCCTCTCCCACATGGAGACCTCGCCCCTTGAGTCCTTGTAAAGGAACTATGCAAACACAAGCCCCTGTCCCACCACATTCGTGTCCCCTGGTGTCCCCACGGCCTCCCCTACCCCGTGCATGAGGTCAGAAGTGGGGGTGGGAGGGGCTGTCAGTGGTGAGTAGCTGGAAGTCCACGAAGAGGCTGCATTGGGATGCTCTCCTTAGGATTTGTGGTCCCTGCACAGAGAGAGGCCCTGGGGTGGGTGCAGGCTCCGGGGACGCACCCAAATCCACAGACTTTGCAAAAGGCGACTCTGGGGGAGCCTTGGGTTCAGAAGTCACTGCTCTGGGATGTCCCCTTGGGCCTCTCTCCATCACTTTATTTGTGAGGAGAGCGATGCCTCCCTTGGACATGGTTTTATTTTTCTTTTTTAGGGTGTTGAGGTTCAGCCTATTTAAAAACCACACCGTTTGGACAATGCAAGTGCTTTGTCCTGAATTACAGTGCTGGCAGGCCCAGGCCACGCATGCTGACTGCTTTCTGTCTTGGTTGCTAGTCCAGGCAAAGAAGGAGGGGATTGTCCAGTGATAGTGTGTGTGTACCTAGGGGGGTGTACCTTTCAGGGATGTGCAGAGAAACAAAGGGCTGCAGGCGCCTACCCTGTCCACCCATGGGTGGCTTTTGGGGGCTCTCTAGTGCCAGTGCAGGATCCCTGGGGTGACCCAGCCAGGTAGAAATGACACATGGCACAGTGGCCACATGGGTCCTTTATTGGTGGCAGAACAAGCAAACACAAAGAAACAACCTTTAAAAGACGTTTTAAATACGATATCCGAGTACACTGGTGCTCACGGGTGTGCACATTGCCAGGACACAGCTGTTCTGTCTTGATCGGCCTTGTGAGGACTTTCCGTGTTGTTGGGATGGAAAGTGACGTGATGTGTTTGTCTTCAGCGTCACCCTGGGCAGACACTTGCTCCTCTGCCGTGTCCCTGGCCCCCAACACATAGATGTCTGATAATTTAGGGAATTCTGCTTTTTGAGCACCAAATCTATATTGGGCATTGTTCTGGTGGGTGTACCAAGCTCCCAGAATTCATGGTGGGTTCCCTTGCGAGGATTTGCAAGGGAGTCTTGCCTACAGTGAGAGGAATATCAGGGACTTTTGTTGACTACTTCAAGTTCAGGTGCACATTTAGATCCAGGCAGTGTTAGCATGTCAGGGTGGAAGTGTTCCTTGCACAGAGTTGACCAGGAACTTCTGGCAAGGACAGGGAGAGGCAGGGGTGCCAGAAGGACTCACTCCCATGTGGAAGAGCTCGGATGGCCCCTGGATCACACCCCCTCTTCTCTGTCACCGAAACAGCTCTGAGCTGGGTTTGTCCTGATAGCAGGCCACCCAGGTCTCCCATGTCCGTGACATGGCCGTCCTCCCAGCTGTGAACCTTGCTGTCCAGTTTTCACATAGCCTGCCTGCTTCATTTGACTCGAGCCTCATGATGACCCTGGGAAGCTGGCGGGGCTTATTTATATAGGGTGGACCTTTTAAAGATAAGGAACTGGTTTTCAGAAGGATGACGAGCTTGACACCCGGGGTTGCCCGGCTCTTCAAGGCAGAGCCGAGGCGAGAGTTCAGGGGTGCTGCTCCCAGAAGCTGGGTTCTTTCATATGACACTCCTCCTCTGAAAATGAACTCCTCAAAGCCGGGCATGGGGGCACATGCCTGTAGTCCCAGCCACTCAGGAGGCTGAGGCGGGAGGATCGCTTGTGGCTAAGAAAAGAGGCTGTGGTGAGCTATGATGGTGCTGCTGCACTCCAGCCTGGGTGACAGAGCAAGACCTCATCTCTTTAAAAAAAAAAAAAATTCAAGACAAAAATGATATGAACCCCTGGGGGTGTCCAGATGCGCTGCCTGTCCCCTTCACCCCGTCCTAGAGAAGGAAGGAAAAAGGGTCCCCAGCTGGGTTAGGATGTCGGTTTTCCTTCTAGGTCCACCCCCAAGTCAGAGCTTTCCTCTGTGCTCCTGGAAGAGGCTCAGGAGCTGGAAGTGGGGCTCCCCTTCCATGCCTGGGCAGGGGTCACCCCACAGGATGGCTGCAACTATTCAGGTGAACACAGCAGTTTGTTGTGTCTGGTTAACTAGGACCCCTCGAAGGCCTCTATGGGGTGTGAGGGAGAAAAGGCCACTGGGAGAACTACTGCCTTTACTTGGGGATTACTTTTATGCTTATAACTTGGGATTTTTTGATTGTCTTTCATCCTGGAGATTCCATATTTAATTCTCGAGCTGTAGCTTCTAATTCTTTAAGTAAAATAAAGTTCTGTTGCATAAGGGCCACACGTGCCAATCTGTGGGTGGGAGCTATCGCCGGACAGCTCTCTACCCCCAGAGACGTGATGGACTAGGAACTCAGGGCGCCCTTACTCCCTCCCCAGACCTGATCCCTTTCCTTCATGATAGAGCCCCCTCCAGGCGAAATTAGAGTGCCAGGTGGTTTTCTTTTATCTTCTAAACCTTTTAAGCATTTTACCTGTCATGGGGCTGGTCTGTTCCCCTGCCACGCTGAGTTATCTTGAGAGCAGAAACCATTGTCTGTCCGACGAGGAGACTCATCCAGAAGACCCCTAAGGTCCCTTTGGGCTCAGAGGGGTCTCTAAGCCGCCTAGGAATTTCCAAGGCCAGGGAATTGTGGGGCACGTGAGTAATAACACGATGGCCAGCAGGTGGCACTGCGTCCCACCCACGGAGACGGATGGCTTAGAAAGGGAATGTTGGTGCCTTTTGTGCCGCAAGTGAATGTCAAAATAAGCACTGGCCTTACATATGCGGATGTGAGCTTTTCTCGCAGGGAATTTTCTTTTCCGTAGGACTGGGGTCAGGAAACCAGTGATGGTCCTTCCAAGTGAAGGTTTCCCCCTGACCGGAAGTAGAGACGGTCCCAGTTGAGAGGGCAGATGAGAAGACTGGAAGCTGACCTCTTGTGACCTCTTCTCTCCTGCCAGACTTCACGGATTTGATTGTGAAAGAGTGAATTTTCTGGACAGAAAGGAGGGAAGGTATCAAGCTGGGTTTTTTTTTAAAAAAAAAAAACACAAGTTTAATGTCCATTGTATCACAAATCGGTGTTAAAACACGAAAACTGTAACCAAATAAATGTCTTATGTTACAAAGGTACTACCTTTCCCCCCTTCTTATCACATTGATTTTCTTTAACTATTGTATGCTTTTATGTTTGCTTTTTCTAACTTTTAAGAATCATCATCACCTAAAAGGTAGTCATCCTGAGCTGGTTCTAGGCTCCCTAAGGCTCATGTCCATGCAGTAGATAGTTGGTGGACACCTTTCTGGTGCCACAGATTTCCTCTGTTAGGAATTTTCTTGGGTAGAGTGGCCCACCCAAGGGAGGCAAGCGAGAGTCGTGTGTATCTAAGAAGGCAGGAGCCTGGGGTGAGAGTCTCAAAGGTGACTTCATGTGATGACTAGGTGGCATTTGGGGATTTAAGTGATCCTGCAAACAGGCAGTCCAAAATATATTCCCTACTCCCAGATGTTTTTTGGTTTTGGAGTTTTTTTTTTTTTTTAGTCAGAGTCTCACTCTTGTCACCCAGGCTGGAGGGCAGTGGCACGTTCATGACCGCTGCAGCCTTGACCTGCTGAGCTCAGGTGATCCTTCCACCTCAGCCTTCCAAGTAGCTGGAGCCACAGGCATGCACCACCACACCCAGCTAGTTATTTGTTTTTTTTTTTATTGTAGAGACAAGGCCTCGCCAAGTTGCCCAGGCTGGTCTCGAATCCCTGGGCTCAGGCAGTCCTCTCACCTCCACCTCCCAAAGTGCTGGGATTACAGGTGTGAGCCACCATGCCCAGCCAAGATGTCTTAAATTCCTCTGTTGGTGCTATGTTCCTTTTTCCTCCGAATAAAAGCAAAACAAAAACAAAAAAAAAACCTTAGAAAAAGTGGGTGTCCTTCTTCCCAAAGCCCGGGCAGAGAAAGAGTCCCTCCAGGATCCCACTCCCCTCTGTCATGTGACACAATTACTCACAATGACTCACTCACTATTTGTCAAAGCCTTTGACAACATCATCTTTATGGTTTTACCTAAAATCTTAAGGCAGACCACTAAAATATAACACTAGCAAAAGTGTTCTTAAGTATAATTTAAAAAACCATTTTAATTAAAATACTACAAATACATAGTAATATATTTAAATAATGCAAAAGGCTTATTTATGATGAAAAGTGAGTCTTGGGCCCAGTGTGATGGCTCATGCCTGTAATTGTAGCACTTTGGGAGGCGGAGGTAGGAGGATTGCTTGAGACCAGGAGTTCGAGACCAGCCTGGCCACACAGCGAGTCGTTATCTCTTAAAAAAAAAAACAGAAAAAGTGAAGCTGTTGCCTCAAATCTTTTTTTTTTTTTGAGTTGGAGTCTCACTCTGTCGCCTAGACTGGAGTGCAGTGGCCGCTCCCGGCCACCGCAGCCTCGACCTGCTGGGCCCCAGCGATCCTTCCGCCTCAGCCTTCTGAGTAGCCGGAACTACAGGCGCGCGCTACCACGCCCGGCTGATTTTTTATTGTAGAGATGAGGTCTCGCCAAGTTGCCCAGGCGGGTCGCGAACCCACGGGCTCAGGCTGTCCACTCACCTCAGCCTCCCAAAGGTGCAGGATTACAGGCTGAGCCATCGAGCCCGGCTGCCTCAAACCTTTAATCTGTCTCCCCAAAGGAAGCCACTTTTAAGTACCATATCCATCTAGAAAAATCTCACGCATATGTAATCTCATGTGGATATGTGTGTGTTTAGTGATATCTGTGGTTTTTTTTTTCTTAATCTGTTTTAGATATTGATTCTTACAGTTCTGCTCCATTCGAGTGAACAGCTCTATCACATCCCATGGTGCACGGATTTGCAGACAAAGATAGCATGACTTGGGCATCTCTCACTGCCCACAGCTGCCGAGAAACAGATCGCCCTCCAAATCCATATGTTCTCTTTTACCACTGCCCTGTGGAAGCAAAATCTATTTAAAAATGTAGCCAGTAAGGTGAATCCTCTGTTTCAATTGATTAGAGACAGGGTCCCTGAGAACTACGTAAAGAACAAAACCAGACTGGGCATGGTGGCTCACTCCTGTAATCCTAACACTTTGGGAGGCTGAGATAGGAGGATTGCTTGAGTCCAGGAGTTGGAGAGCAGCCTGGGCAATGTAGTGAGACCTCATCCCTACAAACAATTTTAAAAATTAGTTGGTTGTGGTGGCATGCACCCATAGTTCCAGCTACTTTAGAGGCTGAAATGGAAGGATCGTTTGAGCCCGGGAGGTCGAGGTTGCAGTGAGCCGTGAGTGTGCCACTGTGCTCCATCCTGGGTGACAGAGTGAGACCCTGACTCAAAAACCAAACCAAACCAGGACCTTTGAGGTTCCTTCCAGATCACAGATGCCACGATCCCAAGGAGTGTCTCCCTTGTTTTGTTAAACGTTTGGCAGGTGAACATAGGAACGGGCATCTCGGTAAAAACAGAAGAT